AAAACATACCAATGAAACACAAACACTTCTCACTTATATCTTAGAAAACAACAACAACAAAACAGACATTTCTGTCAAGTTTACAAGTTCATGTAGTAATATCATAGTTTTATAATGACCTCAAAGCTGGATTCACAAGGACAGTATTTTGTCAAGTATTATGATATACAACAACAACAAAACAGACATTTCTGTCAAGTTTACAAGTTCATGTAGTAATATCATAGTTTTATAATGACCTAAACGCTGGATTCACAAGGACAGTATTACATTTTAAAATAGATTTCTATTACTAGTAGTAGGTATATCATACTAATTATAACAATCAGATCAATAATCATGCTGTTGTGCCACGTGTTACAAACTAAATCTAGGTTAAAGGTTGTCTAACCTCGGTGAAAAAAAGTGTTACAGTCAGTTACCACTTACGTCAGCCTGGGCATGTGCTTCATATCTTTCTGCCAGTTCTTTGGACTTCTCCCCACTGAAGGAGTACATGATCCGAACTTCTCCCTCCTGTAGTTCCTGGCCTGCTACCGTTAACTTACCACCTTCTAAGAAGGTCTGTAGCTGAGCATCTGTCAACTCCTTTAAAAATGACACACATTTTAAACTTTATCTAAACGTTTATGTTATACAGTTAAATGTTAAAGTTTATGTTATACAGTTAAATGTGCTAATAACTTAATATTATTCTATTCTCACAATGAAACAGGCAAGACATCTCACAAAGGATTTTCTTTTTACCACCAGTCTAGACCACCTTTTTCCTACACACATTGTGAACAATAATGCATGCTTGTAAGAATGTTATGTTTCATTGGTGTGTTTTATTAATTCCCTCCATTTCTAAGATACAAGTGAGAAGTGTTTGTGTTTCATTGGTATGTTTTATTAATTCTCTCCGTTTCTAAGATATAAGTGAGAAGTGTTTGTGTTTCATTGGTGTGTTTTATTAATTCTCTCCGATATCATAATACTTGACAAAAAGGACAGTACTGGATTCACACCTTTTAGGT